TTATGGGGCAATTACATATAAAGCAAGACTAGCTTATGAATTACACTTTCATAGTACAAATTACATAAATTGTCCCAAAGCTTAAATACATCATGCAACTAATCTAAAAAAATGCTAAGGAATAAAATCAACTAAACAGGGAATTATAATGCCAAATTAAAATAGGGAAACTATGTTTCGAACCCCTTGTGTTGGAGACACGCAATCGGGCTATATAAGGACTTAATTTTGTCACTTCAGATTGTACAAAAATGGTTTAATCTCATAAGAGTGCCTAATCCAAATGGGAAGCAATTACACACCTTAAAATCACTTCTTAAGCTCTCAACATACTAGCATTATCATCTAAAACAGAATGCAAGAGGTTTGAATCGAATCGGATAAAGAACAAGAGAGTTAAAGGTAAACTACACTCATGAAGCACCACACCACTCTACGAATAAGCATAATAAAAAAGATGATCAAATAGGGATTCTAAGATCAATGAAAATTTTCTAAATTCAAAACTCCAGCAACTATAGATCTCAAGAATATGATCTTATGCAAAAAAAAAATTCAATAGAGTTTACCTTGATAAATGCACACTATGGACTTAAGCATAAGAAAGGAGGACCACCATCAAGATCACCATTAATGAAACTTTAAAATCTCTCTCTCTTCAATTTTCTCTCACAAAATCTTAGAAGAAAGATGGAAGCAACAATTTTCTAAAATGGTTCAAGAGTTGAGATAGTTAGGGTTTGAGATCTCATGATGTGCTTTTATAACATGGTTGTAACCTTGGACTCAATCAACACCCTTGATGCACTAATCCAAAAGCACATGAGAGACTAATGTACCTAGCCACTCAATTCCATCTAACTACTAGGATGAAGGGTTGGGATTTCACATCATTATCAGTCGCCCTAACCCTAAGTTATGCCACTTTACCATTTTGTCATTGGCTTAAGTTTTTGTTCCAATTGTATCAAATATGGCCTTACAAAAATACGTTTAGTTTTTTTAATAATGTATTAAAGTAGATAACCACAAAGGCTAAAGAGCAAATAAGTAATTGGTAAAGCTCACACATGTGGAGACATTCTACTTTATCAAAGCCAATCACTTTGTAGATCTAAAATTTCAAATCAATCAATGTTAAGATAATATCCCCTTCACACAAGTGTGTTAAGATATTTTTCAACTCAATTTTGAAAATGTATTTTCTCTTTGATATCAAATAAATTAATTAATTAAACTTCACACATGTCATACATGACCCATGTGTGAGTTAATTAAGACATGTGATAAAAAGAGGCCTTAATTTATAACATTATATAACAAAATATAACAAGACACCATAACACAACTCCTTATAAAACAAGCAACCAAATGCCAATCTAGTCCCCCACCTAGAGATCAGTGCTCAGCTGGGTGGTGATCTTAGAGTGAGGCGTGGCGCGGCACGTGGCAGCTCTATGGCCACTCGGACGCCACATAGCACTACCAGGTCAAGACTATGGTAGAATTTGAGTCAAACAATTTGAAAACCCTCATTTTTTTAGCCAATAAAATTTTGAATTTTTTTTTTAAGTTACAATAAATATTTAAAGTATTTTTGAGAAATTATTAGGTTTTTCTCATCATTATAAAATCGGACAAAAGGTATAGTGAGATCCAGACTGATAACTGTAGGTATCGGAGTACTCCATTGGGCTAGTCTCTGATAATATTTCGTCGAGTCTCAGATCGACCCAATGGATATATGTTCCACTGTATAAAGCAGTGACACATAATTGGCCATAGTAAAGTCGTTGAGCTAGAACTTTCGATCATTTGGTTCTCAATGGATTACAAGTGTACCATTGTGGGTTATGATCTAACTCAATTACAAGGGTCCTCTCAAAGCACATGTACACTGGCTCTTCCAAACTCGGATAATGCATTTGGAAGAGTGGCTTCCTATACAAAATGAAAATGCATATGCCATGCAATAGTCTTGTGTCCGGATACGAACTTATGTCCCATAAGTCTTAACCATTCCATACAGGGCGAATACTCAATGAGTACTCAGGTTCTATTTTTCTCGTTTAGATCCAAACCTTGGCCGATTGCAACTAAACATGAGGCTAACCTATAATTCCTGACTAGGAGGTGACCCTCATACCTCCTTGAGAAATTGCTTTCTCAATACGTGAACTCTCGATTCCTCATGCGTACTCAGGGTAAAAGAATTTGGGTTTTATTTTGCACGATGCCAAGATTTCAATCTCTCAATCGCTCCCACTGAATGCGAGACTACTGGAATTTAGGCATTGATAGGCCAAATTTCCAACAGTACAGATGTACATTGTGAATATTTGAATATTGTATTGAGTTTAATTGTATTTTTGAGTAAGGGATTTGTAAGGGACCGATTAGGGTTGAATTTTATTATTCAAATGTGTATAAACCATGTTTGTAGGTTGGAATATAAGTATTATGGTTTTGTATTGAGATACTCATGCATTTAAACCCTTGAGTTTTTATACAATGGAATGCTTTTTTAAAAAGATTACATTTCTAGCCCATCGGTCTTATACCACCATCAGATATAGGCTCCTGATATGATATACAAGCTATGATATGTCTAGAACTCGCCATAAGAAGACCTCAATATGCCTTGAGAGTCCTAGTCATCGATCAACCCATATATGTCCTGGCTAATGACCAATGATAGCGGGAGCTATCAAACCATCTCAATGCATGATAGACCATGGGATACATATACTCCCAAGGCCATATACGTCTCTCTACATGATATCGAAAGATTTTGATGTGGGCGATACATTTCCCAATCTAGCGCTCGTCAAATATGTGCATCTTAGTCGATAACAAAAAATATATCAAGTCATCTCAAATTCGAGATAGACTTTGGGATGCATATACTCCCAAGACTATGATACGCCTCTCCACATGATATCAAAGGAGTTTGATGTGGCACACTATACTTTCCAATCCTTATCAATCACATATGTGCATTATTGCTGACGATCGATTATAAGAGAACATCAAGTCATCTCAATTTAAGACAAGCTCTGGGATACATATATCTCGGGGCCAATACACACCACATGATATCGAAAGAGTTTGATGTGGTATGATACATCTTTTGAATCCGTCTTCTGCCAAGAATAAAATATTTAATAAATGGATTATAAAACATCACCATAGGATATCATAATGAGGTATATCCTTGTAGATATATTCAATGGGGCCTCATATGCCATTAGCCCAAAATTCACACAAATTAGACATCATTCGGAGTTGGCTTAACCCATCGTCTGAATTCATCGATTGTCAAGATATGCCTTCCAACAACCACAAACTTGATGTTTTGAAGATTGGTCCTAAACTTTTGGAAAATCATATTTGAGGCATCATATCTCTCATCTTAAGTTTCACATCATTTGGAGTTAGTTTAACCCATCATCCTTATTCATTGCCACCCATATTCTTATGCATCTCCTACTAAAAAATAGCCAAGATAACCCCCAATGAATGTTGGCAGTTGTCCATTCAAATTCAAACATCATATAAGATTATGACCCAGCAAGAACATGGCAAGTGCTATCAAATTCGAACAAAAATACATACTTATGGTTTTGAGCCAAATCGTGATAAATAAACGTAGAAGGTCAATAATTTGGATATCCTTGATGAATATTCATGCTTATCAGCTCATAAAGTCCATATAAACTCTACTTCTCAATGCAAAGGGGAGAGGACAAAATTGATACGCACCCCTTCTTCCATTTTGTGCGTGATAGAGAGAGAGACAAGAGTTAAGTATATTTATTCACCATCGGTTAAGGAGTAAGCCATCGATATCACCTTTTTTTAGATCTGTGTAGCAGAAATCTAATTGAGAGAAAAGTTGTTGATTCAAACTCGATTAAAGCCTCAACTCGAGAAGGAACAGACAGTGGACAATACCCCTATATAGCCAAGTATGCAGGCATCATACACCTATGGTATTGATTTTTTTTTCATTCTTCTATATGTATCATTTTAGAGTTGTGATATGTAAGCTCCAAGGCTTGAATCAAGGGTATATAAACTGTAACAGGGATTCAAGTCCCTGAAATTCCTCAATACCCATAATATGAAACGTAAGAGCGAATTTGACCCGTGTTAGTCCTCTGGTTATTCCTCTAACTTGTCATGATATCTTTAAAATATATTTCCCTAACACATTTCCAGAGCAACCAGACATTCATTAAATTAGTCGCTAAATTAGTCACGCCCCCTAAATTATAACAAAACAAATTTCACAAACTAGATCTTTTCCAGTTCCCTTTTTTTTAGGAGATGACCAGTTTAGGGTTGATCGGTGGTCCAACTGTTTGGACCGGCCAGTCGGGTCTGTTTCCGAAAATCTGATGCACCTAAGAAGATGACTAATCATGAATAACAATCTACTACGAAAGCATGACCAAATCCTATGGAGGCCATATATAACCCTACTCAGTTTGCTTGTCAAGGGAAGTTGTAAACACCTTCTAAAGTTGTAATATGTAGGCTTTAAGACTTGAATCAGGGTATTCGATCAGGGTATTCGATCTTGCTTACAAGTTATTGATGTAAATTGTAACAGAGATTTAAATCCTTAAGTCCTTGAAATTCTTCAGTACTCAGAATATATATATATATATATATATATATATATATAAAAAAAAAACCTTGTTGTTTGCACTGAAATATAAAATCGAATTTAACCTTGTTGTTTGCATGATATGAGTTCTTCCTCTAACTTGGAGTCATGATATCTTAAAAATACTTTCCCTCACATTTTCAAAGTGACTAGACGGTATTAAATTGGTCGCACCCCTAAAATTATAACAAAACAAATTTCACAAACTAGATGTCTTTTCCGGCTCCCATTTTTAAGAGACCGACCAGTTTAGGGTTGATCAGGACAGGCTAGTCGGGTCTGTTCCCAAAAATCTGATGCACCCTAAGAATATTGATTAGTCACTAAGCAAGTATGACCAAATCCTGTGGAAGCCATATATAACTCTACTCATTGTGCTCGAGGGGAAGTTGTAAACACATTCTCAGTCAAAAGCAAATAACAGAAAGGATTAATACTGAAAGTTTTCATAGGTGATCCCAAGTACTTCCGATCGTGCATTGGCACATGTTCCCCCATGCAATGTCCTGCATCCATGACTTGCATTTTAAAAATCTTCATCTCAAAGAAGCAGCCTAATTGCTTAGGAATGGACCCAAATTATAACGAACTGCCCATCAGGAAAATAAAAGAAATGAATACTACCTGCTGAATAGAGGTTTGCACAACAAAAAGCAATTGTAACAACTGTATTGTACAAAAACTATATAACAAAACAAAACAAAATTAAACAGAAGACAAACCAGCAGGAAGCTGGCTGAAGAAAAAAGTGCTGTCGACAGTTCTCAGAGCCATCATTGATTAAACAATCAAAAAATGGGCTGTAACAAATATTTATTTTCCAGTGAAGTGTGGGAGAAAGGGATTGATGTCTATAGTGCTGTACAGTCCATTGGGTAGCAGCCAAGAACCCGGATGAATGTTGCAAATTCCTGCAACCCACAACAGCATTGTGAGCTTGCTGAGATTGGCTTGCTTTTGCTACATAAAACTATCAATAGAAAATAACTCAAGACTAATATCATTCCAAACAGATGCTGCAATGATATGGAACTTTACAATCACCACAAAGTTGCAGCAAAGCCATTTCATTTTGTGTGTGTGTGTCTGTGTGCGCGTGAGAGAGAGAGAGAGAGAGAGAGAGAGAGAGAGTATAATAGCTCCTACAGATCTCATATAGAAAATGACTTATCTAGCATTGTCCTAACCAAGGGGTTTACTAGATGAAACGCTGAGTATATCAGAATTGTTAAACATCCAGCTGAATAGAAAAAGAAATCGTGTACTGTAAAAAGTTAGTTTATAGGGTAATAATATTTCTCCCATTGTCAAGATATCTTTAGCATAATCTCAGGCACTCAAACGAAGGACTCCCCAAGACAACAGCAAATTTGACAAGCCTACTCAGAGAAGCATCATTCCCACACAAGTGAATTACAATCCCCAATGGACAACAAAGTGCAATGTCAAATGAAACCAGGGACTACAGCATTTAATGGAACCGCACCTTTTCCTAGAGATCCTAGTTATAGTTAAAAACTATTCTTTCTGAACCAGTAGCATGACACTATCAAAAAGAGTAATAATTAACAAACTGCCATAAGTCTACAAAACAGTGATCTACATTGAACAGATCTAATCACATTCACAAAGAGACTTCCTACAAGAGTGTTCAGGTAGTTAATAGATCTTGTTGATTACGTAGAACTTGATCCTATGCCCCTAAAAGGAAAAATATCCCCATGAAACACAACAAACACTTGAAGGTTCCTTCAATCGCATACCCACATCAAGCCACCCAAACCAGGCTGGCACAAGGTTGCCAAAGAGATCCCTTACAGTTCAGCAGCCACCACAAGATGGACGTCGCTACACATTAAAGGTCCAGAGGTCACAATTACACTAAGATTGTTCCCCAGTCCTTCATTTGGTATGAACTCATAGGTGCACAGAAATCCTCTCACTAATGGCCATTCACAGAGGGAACATCCCATTCGAACCTATGGAGAATCCCCACTCCTCCTCTGCTGCCACCACATCCCCACTGCTCACAAGAGAGAGAAAAGGAATAGGAAAGAAGATGACAAAAAGAAAAGGAGAAAAAAAAACAAAAAGGAACACCATCTTAGGAAAAAAAAATGGTATTTAATCTTGTCTAGCAGAAATAGGAACTTAACCTCGATGGTAACCCTGTCGATTCAAAAGCTTGATTCTCAAACATGCTTTGTTAGAAACTTCAAATGGTAGCTACTTCCATCAATCACTGTTTCTCACCTCATTATTGCCATGGTCAGATTTGGTACCTGATTTAAGAGCTATCTGTTTTAGATGTCAACAATCACTCATTTTCTTCCTTGGTTCTACATTGGCATTCATCAGCACCATACCACTGTGATGATTGTAGCTTTCAAGCATGTCATACTATGGAGATCCCTTATCTAAATCTCATTAGACACCCATAAACAAAAATCTATGGTTTGATCCGTAGTTTCTGGAATTTCCCAAATTGGTAGTGATCTAGCGTCCCATGCCCCGGAGTGGGATCTTGCATGATCCTGCTCCCATATGGGGGAAAGACGATCACAATCACAATCCTATGGGATCGGTCTATATAATTCACAACTATGTTAGATCATTTATAGGAAAACAAATTTTAAATGTATACTGATCAAAGGAGAAAGTCGTTTGTGCATGTCAAACCACAAAGAATGGAAGTATTGATGAAATCCTTGTATGGTATATTTTTTCAAATGTTAAAAATGCAGCGAAATGTGGATATAACTGCTGATAGTGAGCAGTTAACTGATGCTAGTAACAATGTCGATTCAAGCTCTGATGATGGGGATGACTCTATGGCTTGACACCAGCTGAACGCTGCTGATGTTACTGGCTCTAAACAGGCCGAGGATTCCAGTGATCTTCCTCTTAACGTTGATGATGGTGATGAACAGCTGGGGGATCAATACAATGATGCTAT